TAAATATTTTATGTATCCCGGAAACAAAATTAATTATAATTTTACTTTCCTGGTGAAGGAAAGGCAAACTCGCCAATAGTGTTTTCAAAATCTACTTCTGGAAAAAAACGAACCACTAAAAATTACATAAAAATATGTACTTTGAGCCATGTGAGTTTTTGTTTGTTTGTTTGTTTTGGTTTTGGTTTTTGCCTCAGGCTCTAACATAGCTTGGCATGGATATAAATGGGAAAACTGTAAGAGTTGACTTTAGCTCAACAACTTGACTGAACACGGAAAGCTCAGAAGATATGTCTTAGTGCGCTATCTTAGAAAACTTTATATTTGTCGAAATTTTTGTCTATAATAATGAAATATACATAAACTGCAGTTACATACATTAGGTGGATGTAGATTGCCACGTTAGATAACCCAGAACCAAACCTGCAGGTTACATTCTCTCATTAGCAAAATTTGTTCCATTTTACCTTTAATCTCATTTTGTCTTCATATGACATACTTCAAGGTGGCCTTAAAATGGCTACCTTAAAAAATATCCCATATTTGGCAATATATTCCTTGTTTTCATACTTAATTCTAGTAGTGTAAATAACTTTGTACTTCCTCAAGCTGTTTCTGATGGGGTATAATGGGAACCTAGAACTGAACCCTAGGGTAGGAATCAGAATACGTTGGTTCTGGTCAGAATAGCATGCTGTCGTGGGTGGCTCACCTTTGCCTACTACTAATTTCAAGATTATCACATCACTTCGAAGAGCTTGACCCCCAAGCTTTATTTGAGAAGAAGGTGAAGTATCTTCCCAAAAAGCTATTACCCCAGACTACACTGACAAATTGCCAGCGAAAATGAGAATGGTCACTCTTTTCTGCTTTATATTATTGAGATTCCTTCCAAAGTATCAAGTTAATTTCAGAATATCCCATTTTGGGAGGATGCCAGCATCTCAAATAGTATCTTTCAGATATTTTTGACCATGACCCACAGTGAGAAATACATTTTATTTCACAACGGTGTGTATGTGTGTGTGTGTGTGTCTCATGTGTTTCTGTCTCAAAAGTTTAAAAATTAGCCTTTACTTTAACACTTTAAATAATGCTTTCCAATATTTTCTATACTGGTAAATTGTGTACTGTCCTGTTTCTTCCCCCCCCCCCATTTATATCATGATCCAACATGAGTATAATCCACATTTTGAAAAACACTGGTCTGGAAATTTATAATGACTATAATAACTCAGCAATTATAAGAATTACCATCATCATCATTATCATAATTGTCATCTTTTGACACTAAAAAATAACCTAGTTGATTTGTTATGTCTTTTTAAGGATAGTAAATGCTATTTAGCATACACTTACTATATCATATAGGCGATCACAATCCCACATAGCAGGGCAATGCTGAAGGCTATACTTGCAATTAACATTACTTGAACAAGAGCAGGTCTATGTGGAATTATGGCTAAAAATGGGGAAAAAAGAAGTTGTAAAAAATTTCATTTTAGCTACTTCTCTCAGTTAATATATTTGTTAATCAAATTGTTGATACGAAAGGGAATAGGAGACAAAATCAGAAATGCCCTTAAAGATAGCATGCTTGATTTTTAAAAATAATGATTAGATGGCACAGGCTGTGTGAACAAATATAATTTGAATTCCCAACAACCCCTGACTCCCTTTTTTGTCCACCTCCTGTCCTTGTTCACAGCCCTCTCCTATTCTCTGTGCAGATACTGGATCCTTGACTACAGACAGCAACACCCATTGTCTAGGCAGCTGCAAGGCGAGTGGCCTTCCTCTTATGATCTAAGCTGTGGGTGCTGTCGTGAAAGATATCACAGGGCGATTTAGGACAGAATTCCATGAACCTGCATGCCACGAGTCGAATTTTAGGGCTAGAGAATGTGCTATAAAACCATGGCTGTACTTTGTAGGCTCAGGTTTATCATCCTTCTTCATATCTGAAATTTTAAAAAATAACCAGAGAGTTATTGTTTGTACAAATTGAACAAAAGAACAATCAGCAAAGTAAGTACATTACTCAGCCGCTTGTAAAATCTGACAAACTGAGGCAGCTACTCCTTGTCTCACACTTGCCCTTCCTTCACTTTCTGTTCCTTCCTGGGGCAGGAAGAAGAATTCGGCCAACTGAGCTGAAACCTGCCCTGAGACTCACACCTCAGTGGATGTGATACAGAAACGACCTGGGCTATGAAAAAGCTAGGAGTGTGCAATGATTAACTGTAGATTTGAGGTGTGGAGTATAATGGGTGTTTACAGTTTAATCAACTTTTCTGTATGTTTTCAAATTTTCATAATGAAATATTTCAGGAGAGAAAAGAACATGGGTTACAGATGGTATAGGTATGATGAGAACTGAAAATTGACCACGGGATTGGGCGTTGGGAGGTTAGAGACCCAGGCAAGGGCAGTATTAGTAGCATGGGGGGAGGGCAGGATGTAGGCTTGACTGAAACAGATTCAGAAAAGAACAAGAGGAAAGGGACTGGGGACAGTGAGATTTAAAAATCATTTTGAGGAATTTTGTATAAAAGGAGGAAGAGAAATGGGTGTAGCTCCTGAAGGGGGCTGAGGGATTAAGAGGTGGACTTTGGTTTTTAGGATGGAAAAATTGACACCATGTTCACAGGACAATGAGAATGAGACACTAAATAATGATACTACAGTGTCAGAATGTTAGGTCTGCCATCACAGAATACCATAGACAAAGAATAGAAATTTATTTCTCATAGTGTTGGAGGCTGGGAAATCCAAGAGCAGGGCATCAGCAGATTTGGTGTCTGGTGAGGGCCCCCTCTCTGGTTCAACAAATGGTACCTTCTTTCTGCATCCTCACATAGTGGAAGGGGTGAGCTAGCTCTCTGGGGCCTCTTTTGTAAAACCATAAATCCCAATCATGAGGGCTCTACCCTCATGACTTAATTTCCTCCCAAAGGCCTCACCTCCTAATACCATCACCTTGAGGATTAGGATTTCAACATATAAATGGGGGGGGAGCATAAACATTCAGACCATAGCATGCAGGAAAGGGGGACACAATTGCCAGGAATGTCCTCGAGTTGTCCTAAGAGGATGGAAGCTGGTACACAGGTCAGCCTTGGCCCAGATAATTCAACTATCAGCAGGAGACAGAGAATGAGGGTGTGATTGCAGGTAGATAGGAGGATTCAAACACTCTCTTTTAACTGCTTGTATTTTGTCAGTGAAGGGGGAAATGAGACCATCCTGTGAGAGCAAGGCTGGGGTAGAATACATGGAGGTATTTGCAGAGCAAGAAAATTATATGAGAAAGTCACCAGGTAGGCTGGGAGAATAAGTAGACTAGGGAAATGGAGTAGCACATTTTTTTTTTTTTTTTTTGAGACAGAGTCTCGCTCTGTTGCCCTGGCTAGAGTGCCGTGTCGTCAGCCTAGCTCACAGCAACCTCAAACTCCTGGGCTCAAGCGATCCTCCTGCCTCAGCCTCCCGAGTAGCTGGGACTACAGGCATGCGCCACCATGCCTGGCTAATTTTTTCTATATATATATATTTTTTTAGTTGTCCAGTTAATTTCTTCCTATTTTTAGTAGAGATGGGGTCTCGCTCTTGCTCAGGCTGGTCTCGAACTCCTGACCTTGAGCGATCCACCCGCCTTGGCCTCCCAGAGTGCTAGGATTATAGGCATGAGCCATATTCTTTTTAAATTAAAAAAAAATTTCCTAGAAATGCAATTGCTGTGTGTATTGATTTTATTTTCAAATTTTCCATATTCTTGATGCTCTGGCATTTGGGGCCTTGATTCTGGATAGACTGCCCCTCTCAGGCCTCACTGTTGCCTGGAGAGAGCAAACAACTCCCCTGCGAATGTGCCTTTGGTGTATAAACCAACCGACCCAGAGCCCACATCCCCAGTCAGCTCCTTTATCAAACTCCAAGCGAATATTCCCCCCCTACCCTGCCCAAAGTCACCCCTGGGCCAGATACTAGACAACTAGAAACATCCCTATAGCCCAGAGCTTGCTGAAATTATTCAAACTACTTAATCCTAAATTTACTCAGAGTATCTGACCTTCCTCACCCATTCCTTCCCTCGGAAACCCCAATAAAGGCTCTGAGCCATGCTCACCCCCCTCCTCCTTCTGCCTCCTGACTGACTGTTGTTTCCCATGTGGCCGTGCCTTGCAGGCCATGTCTGCTGTTTCTAGGAATCTGTGAGCATAAGCTTTTTCCTTCTTGACGATCACTTCCATGTCTGGGTGTCTTACCATTACCATAACCGAATTAAATCAATCTCAGGTATATTTCAACACTCTGGGTCAAAAAGTAAATGCATTGTTTTTATATTTATAAGAATTGTCAATTGCCCTCTCTAGAAGTTACATGCATTACTACCTTACAAATAAGACATGAGATTACCTTTCCCTGCTCCTTTGCCAATACGGTTATGAAACATTGTGCCCACTTTCAACATGATAGCTGAAAACTAGAATTATGGCGTAGTCTTGTGAAATTAAATAATTCAAAGTTAAAATAATTCAAACTTAAAGCTGCTGGAACTGTAAATTATCCTGAGCCTTCGGAGGAATGTGGCCATGCAGCCTGAGTTGCACGGCATGTAGCCGCAACTTCTGCCTTGTTTCCCTGTAAATAATTAAGAAAACCAAGCAACACCAGATAGAAAATACCCTCAGATGGTCGCCCCTCATCATGTAGTAATAAAGTAATCTTCCTTGGAATATAGCAATCTGTAACCAAACAAATTGCTGTGGTGTATGACCTGGCCTGGTCATGATCCTGTTGGAACTTCTCTGTCTCTGCCTATATAAGTGAAACCTTAACTTTTCCACTTTGGAAACACTGACACCATTTGTTTGGAGTCAGTTTCCCCCAAGTGGGGAAAGCTTTGTGCTCATCCTTAAGCTTTGTGCTCTAATCAACTCTATACTTAGTCGTATTTTCTCAGCCTCATTATTTAAGGCTGACAGTCACTATGCACATTTTTCTTATTGTAAGTGAGGTAAGGCAGTTTTCCATATAATCAAGAGCTAAGGGTTCCAGAAGAAAATTGATGTCTTCCAGAAATCTGATTAGACAAATGATTTTGTCCTCTGTCTCATCCTGCCTGCAACTGAGACCCAAAGCTCAGGGGTGAGAGAGGTCTCAGCAAACCTCTAGTGTTCACAAAACAAGCTGACGTCAAAGGAAGGACTAGAACGCAGGCTTTCTGATGCCAGAACACGGGCTCTGTGCTGTGGCGATGGTGGTGAAGACGCAAGCAAAATATTCATAGCTGAGCTTCAGGAAGATTAATAATACGTTTGGGATGGATGGATATATTAATCATGTTTATTCACTTTCTGTATTTCTTGATACTTTGACATCTTGGGGCCTTGAAGAGTCTGCCCCTTCCAGGACCAGCTAATTCCTAAAGACAGTAAATCACTCGCCTGCAAACACACCTCTCACGTGCAGACCAACCAACCCACAGCCTGTACCCCCACGATCTCCTTTATCCAGCTCTCACCCTCAGGCCTCACACACTATCCACCTGCCCTAAAGCGCCAGGGCCAGGCACCCCAGAGCCCACTCAAACCACTGAAACCAGCTGATCTTAACACCCAACCTGGCCCTTCTGGTGAAGACCAGAGTAAAGGCTCTTACCCATATTTCCCCCTTGCTCCCTGCACCCCCAACCTACCCTGGAGCCCCCCAACGTGGCCCCTGTGTGGTGGGCCATGCTGCCTAGTTCTGGGGCTCTGAGTATTTTCAGTATAAAAATGCCTTCCTTCCAGTCATTTCCAAGTCTGTGTGTCTAATGTACCTGATCAAAACAAATCCTGTGTATGTTTTAAAAGGACGGGCAGGGGTGAGGATCTGACAGGCAGTGGCTGACCCACAGAAGGCGCTAAGCAAATGTGCCAGGATAGAGAAGGAAGGGTCCTTCGGTGGGAGGAGTGGCAGGGCATGAGGGTGGCCTTCTACCTTGGAGGACTCTAGGGCAAGTGGTCTTGAGGGAGTTCCAGGAGAAGCCAAGGAGGAGACAAGGTGCTAGAAAGATTGCTCAAGGGCCTGCTGTGTATAACTGTGCATTTTGTGTGTTGCACAAACGGATCTCGAATTCAGCCTGTGCTCAACTGACCAAGACATGAGCCCACAGAGCTGTGCTACTTTCTGACCTGCCCCACACAGCGCCATTACTAATCTGACCGTCCAGAGGCGTCTTTTCCTGATGTGCACAAAGGTGCTGTGCAGGCTGGTGGTGACCACCCTGGCCCCTCTGGCGCCACACACCGTGGCAGCTTTGGGGATGTCTGTAGGCCCCACCCACAGGCCCTGACCCTCCACTTACCTTCGTTCCTCAGGAATTCCTTGGGGTTGTTAGGTAATCCAGCTGGAAGATCATTTAAGGGAATCAGAGAGGAGAGACAGTTTTAAGATAGATGCAGGAAAATTGGGAAGTAACTTGGCATTAGACAAGGAAGCCTAATGCATAGTTTTCAAATATCTAAGATTGTAAATGTTAATAAATGTATTCCAATGCCTAGTAGAAATATGTGGGTTAATTTGTAAAAGCATGGTGTTCTGTCACATCCAGTGTTTCTTTCATGAATATGGACCTATAAGAACATAATATGTTTGGTTTCTGGTCTTTACATGTTGAGAAACCTCCTCCCAGGTTGAGGACCTGGAAAGATGTAAGGGGGACGTGATCTCATCAGAAGGTCAGCGAGCTGGTGCCGGGGGACCAACAGCAACGTCCTTTCCTCAGACGTGAATTAGACACTGTTGTATCACACAGACAGCATTTCCCTTGTGTGGAACTGGTTTGCTTATAAGCAACACATATCTCCACAAAGAGTAGCTGCCTGACTTCATAGATTGTCAGGGTTGGTTTTGTTCTTTAAAGATAAACAGAGTTCCTCTAGCACTCAAATTAAAAAGCAAAGCCTAGAAGACAAACAGTTACAAAGAATGCTGTATACTCGCAAAGCATGTGCCTGGACCCATGTGCTCTGCTACCAGAACTTGAGCCCCAAATTACAATGAAAGTCATACGGACACATTCAAATAATCTAGATGGGATCGAGGTTTTTATGTGTGCTAATTAAAGTGAAATGAAAGAGAAGAAAGTAGTAATCCCCAAAGAAAATGCACAGCTTACAGAGTGAAGAGTATAAGTTTTAATTTAGGAGCAAATGATTATCTAATTATGCTATATATTATGGATCTTTATACTAACAAATAAATACACACAGCACATTCACATAGCAGATAAGAGAACCCCAGCCTGTAATTCTCATTTCACTGAGTGAGTGATTCAATGACTTACCTGCGAGTCTTGAGGAGGTCCCTTGAATCCCAAATAATCGAGTTTCACTAAAGAGTACTTTGGCCTGGTTGGTGACTTTTCTGGGTGTTTGTGACTGTTTATTGCCTTGAAAAGAAAGCTTGTGGCAGTCAAATATAATTACCTTTTTATTTTCCCTGAAACAGTTTTTTAATTCTCCTGAGACAAGTAGAACCAGTGGTTGAAGCTACCTGGTAAGACTGTTAATTTCCCAACTGGATGGCACCCATCTGCATAAGGCAAACATAAATGAAGTGAGCACTCCATTAGAAACAAAAATAGAAAAGTGAAAAAGCTTTGAACCTTGTCCATCACTCTAAAATTGTCAGTCTTTTACCATAGGGATGAAAGGGAATGTTTAGCTACAGTTCCTGTATGTATCTGAGGAACTAAGAAACTCTGCTTCCTACGGAATGTTCGGGTTATGACTTAGAGCCGCCAGTGTGAGGTCAGCCCTGTGGGCACAATGGGTTTCCTCCATGGAGCCAAGCCAGCCAATGGGGACGACTAGCCTGGAGTCAGGCGCGGTGTGCTGGGGCAGGTACGAGTGGGTAAGACCAGGTCCCTGCCCTCAGCAAGCACACAGATTAGTGAGGAGGCAGAAAGAAATCAGTGACAGTTGGCCCTCTGTGTCCACAGGCTCCCCATCCGAGGATTCAACCAAGCTCAGATGGAAAATATTTGAAAAAACTTTTTGTCTGTACTGAACGTGTACAGACATTTTTCTTGTCATTATTCCGTAAACAACACAGTATGACAACTATTTACATAGCATTTACCTCGTATTCGGTATTATAAGTAATCTAGAGATGACGTAAAGTATATGGGAGGACGTGAGTAGATTATGTGAAATACAAAGCCATTTTATATCAGGGGCTTGAGCATCTGCAGGTTTTGGTGCCTGTGGGAGTTCCTGGAGCCAGTCCCCCACGGATGCAGTGGGACGAAAGCATTCAGTCGAGACATCGTAAAAAGCCTAAAGAGAAGGTAGCAGAGTTATGCGAGGGCAGTGGGCTCACAGTCAAAATGCCTGGATTCTGATCCTCGTGTCTACCTTCCTAGATGTTTGAGCTTGATCAAGTTACTCAACCCCGCTGAGCTTCAGTTTCCTTATCTGTAAAATGAGAGGAAGGATTAGTACCTACCTTACAGAGTTGTAGCAATGGTTAAATAATGCAATCCGCACAAAGCACAAAAAACCAGAATAGGCGCTGAACGAATGTTACTTGGGATTGTGTCGATATTTGCAGTAAAACAACTCAGTCCCCCTCCATCCTCTGGGGACTTCAGAAACCGAGACCCAAGTGGTTGCCTCCAAAAGTTTCTTTGAAGGAGACAAACAGAATCATCCTCAAAATGTGGAGATGGGATTGAGGAAGAGACAGCACAGGAGGTTGTCAAAGTCCTTGTACTTTTCCCTGCCCCACTTAGTAGTTCTCACAAAGCGCGCGGCAGGCTTCCATCCACCTTCACCGATACAACATAAAGCCCCTTGGGATTAGGATTTGGTTCCAGCCGCACTGGACCCCACACAGCAACTGTTCTTTCTGAATGTTTGCTGAGTGGCAAGGCCAGGACCCTTCCAGATATACCCGTGGAGGTCCTATATAGTCTCTCTCTCAGTTTGCAGTCTCAAAATTGCCTCGGTTAAACCTATCCAGATGAGCTAATCTGCTGTGTTTCTCTTTGGAATTGGGCTGTCAAGCTCTCCATGGGAACTGTTGTCTTTGGAATTGTTTTTAGGATATGCCAGTGGTCACTACTGCTTTGCCTAGCCATTCCCCACAGGTCTGTGAGCACCTGGCTCTTCCTGGACTTGGCTCTTGCCTTGGTTCTTACACCCACGTGCCCAGCCCAGCGGGGTGAGTCCTGCTGGCCCACCAAAATACCACTCTGGGTCAATGATGCTACAGATGTGTAAAGAGTATCTTTTAACCCTATTGTCTCGTTTTATAATCCAAATTATAAGTAGGCTTTAGTAAACTGTTACATTTGACATAATGAGATTAATACAGAATTTTTAAAATATATTAGGCAGCTTGTTTCAGAAAATAGAATTTTTGAGAATCTTTTAGTCTAGTGATTTCTCAATGTGGCTATGAATCTGTCCATACGTTAGACACAGAATCATTGTAATATTGTGAATAATTACAGCACCTAAAATGAGAATATGGCTGGGCATGGTGGCTCATGCCTGTAATCCTAACACTTTTGGAAGGCTGAGGCGGGAAGATCACTTGAGGTCAGGAGTTCGAGACCAGCCTGAGCAAGAGCGAGACCTTGTCTACAAAAAATAGAAAAATTAGCTGGACATGTTGGCGTGTGCCTGTAGTCCCAGCTACTTGGGAGGCTGAGGCAAGAGGATTGCTTAAGCACAGGATTGGGAGGTTGCAGTAAGCTATGTTGATGCCACTGCGCTCTATCCCAGGCAACAGAGCAAGACCCAAGACCCTGTCTCCAATAAATAAATAAATAAGAATAAAACAACAGATACACACCAAAAAAATCTAGTAATATATTTAAAGGGCAATTGAACTACTCTGCTTGGAGTGTCCCTGTTGTTGGTGTAGATGCTGGAACCAGCCCCAGCCCTGGCCCTGCCAGCCTGAACTGCAGGGCGGGCCCTGAGCAGCAGTAAACAGCCACCATGTGGTCTGAAGCAGGGAACTGCTGGCCTCTAGCCTGTTACTCAAGATTACTGAAAGGAGGGGTAATTTTTCCCACCATTTCTCCTTTCTGTAGTCCTATCTGGCCAGTCTTAAAGGTTTCCACCAATGAGGAGTCCTTACTATTGATCACTGAGACCTCCTGCATTTTCATGTTTCTATCTTGAATGATTTTTCTTCTGCCTAGAAAACTACATTTAGTATTTATTTTAGTGTAGGTCCACTGTTAAAAAAAATTCCACTTTGGTTCATGTGAATATGTCTTTATTTCCTCTTCATTTTTGAAGGATTTTTTTTGAAAGGGAGGTTTATTCATTTGCCAACATCCCCTCTGAAGGATTTTTTGATGGGTAAAAAATACTAAGTTGGCATTTCTTTTCTTTCAGCACTTTAACAATATCATTCCATTCCTTCCGACTTCCATCCTTTTCCTCGTGAAATCATATTGTTGTTTCTTTGAAGTTAATCTTTTTGTTCTTTGGCTGTTTGCAAGGTGATCTCATTGCTTTAGTTTTTAGCTGCTTGTCCATGATCTGACTTGTTGGGGTTTTCTTTGATTTGTTGTTTGCTATAATTGATTTGCAGTCTTCATCACTTTGGAGAAATTTCCAGCCATTAACTCATCAAATGTTGCGTTATGAGGGCAGGAGTCTTTAGACATTCAGGTTTGGATATTCTCTTCAGAGCCCTCTTGTTCTGAAGATGAGGCTAGCCCTGCCTGTGGGGCCACCTCAGAGACCTTCAGCTTTTCCAGGTTCACCACCGTCATCTCTTCCACACGCTGCCATTAGTCTCAGAGACACAAGGCCCCTCTCCTTCTTAAACTAAGATTCCATTCTCCATTGATGATGCCAACCCTTCTTGTCTTGTGTTCTTAACTACCACCCTCCACTTTGTCTATCTATTGTGCTGATCCCTCTCTTCATGGGCCAGTCTTTCTGTAGAATATCATCTTTCTGTGTATTTTACTCCTTTTCTTCTGTTCTCATTGCTACATCTCTTTCCTTAATGTATCCTCCCTATTTTATTTCTCTTCAGAATGCTTACTGCATTATATATTTATTCACTGTTTGTCTACCCTCACCAAACTTTCAACTACATGGAAGCAAGGGTGATATTTTGTCACTCCTGTGTCCCAGTGCCTTACACAATGCCTGGCACACAGTACACATTCCGTCAATGTCTGCTGAATGAATGAACATATGAGTAAATTCTTTCTGTTGCCCACATTGAAAGGGAGCAGCTCTGCTCCTCCTAGAGGTTCCTGATGAGGTATGTCCCAGTCTGGGTGGAATGGCTGTTGGGGGAAAGCAGTGGCCAATAGAGGAGGATGGAGAAGGGAGGGTGACTAGTGAGGAAGCACAACTCCAGTGTTTGGGGCCATGTGGCTGATGGAGGAAGTGTTTCCATAGGAGGCTGGAACTGAAGCTGGCTGAGTCCCTGAGGCGAGGGACAGAGTTTGCTTCCTACTCCCTCTCTCCCTGCCCCATGTTTCCTCCTCAGTCTGTTTTGGGCCCCAGGCCTTGCTCCTTATTCTCTCTCTCCCCACCTTTCTTCTTGTTTTCCAGCTTAGGCCCACCTCATCCTTTGTTGCCTCTATAGCATATAGTCCAAAATGCTGGACTAAAGGCTCATCTCTTTTATTGAATGAAACCTGGAGTCTCATGATCTGAACTGAAAGGCAAGCCCATATTTTCTTCTTCTCTCTCTAAAAAAGAAAAAAATGTTTCAGAGCATTGGAAATGGCCAGTGGTTTCATTTTTAGTTTTTGGCCATGGACAGAAACAAGCAGTGGTTTCGTCTCCCTGGAAGGCACTCCCTAACTCCCTGGTCTGACTGTGGTGCCCCCATTTGAGCTCCCACCACATCTGTTCAAGCCTCTGTTGTGGCCCTGACACCCTGACCTGTCCTCACTGATGTACCCAACACCTCGCTTGTGGGACTGTGACTCCTTCGTGTCCGCAGAGCCTGGCACAGAGCTCCACATACACCAGACCCTTTGCAAGGGTTTGCTGAATGAATGCATCAGTGAATGTACCAGTGCATGTGCTCAGTTTTACAACACACTCTTCCTGTCATGGGAACCAAATCTAGATGCTCACACCTCACCTGTGTTTTTGTTCTTCATTTGTACATGCACCCAAGTCGCAGTCACGAGATGAAATCACTGCCTAGTGTCATTACCTACAGATCATTACTGTTCTCAGAGCTGGTTTCTGAAAGAACCTGGAATTCACTACCCTCCCCAATCCACGTGCACCCCCTTCACTATTTCTATTATCAGTGAGTTATGCACTCTACAATAGCTAGAACACACTCCATTTATGGTTGAGTGATCTTATTCCCATGCATGTACTAGAAATGAAGAGGTTCAGAGTCAGGACGATTGTGAATAACTGGGGTATCTATAACATGACCCTAAAAGACTTGCTTACATGCGTTTATGTGACATGCTAATTGTGGAAGACTTCCTGTTTATCCTCTCTTTCTCACCCTGGCAGTGGTGAGGCAATGGAAGGTTCATTGAGGCACCAAGTGGTCATACAGCAGTCCCCATCCAGTTGACACCAAGGTCCAAAAGAATGAGCTCATGGCCTCCCAAGTCCATCTGGCTTATTTACTGGACCAGGAAAACGTCCAGCAAAT